CTTTTACTATCAGTCACCTTAAGTGTCAAGAGGTTAAGGACTGTGAATGTGACAATAATTACATCAGAGAGACAGAAAGAACACTGAAATCTAGGGCCGTGGAACATTAGAGACGTAGCTCCATCACATCGAAGTTCTGTAAACACATTCACCCAGATAAACTGGGGTAGCAGATCCCACAGGAGGGGAAGGGGGGTAAGTAGGCAATCTTCACCCGTGCATACAACCTAATGCTGAACAGAGACTGGGGATACACCAATTGTCTCACGCATTGACAGCACTGTCACTGACACTTCGGGGACTGGCGTTGCGACGGATTAAAAACGCCGGTGTAACAGTAATTCAAGTCCTGCGGACCTCGGTACCTGGTAATGGTTGTCCGTAAAATGAAAAAGATGAATAAAATCACTGCAGCAAAGACAAGTGTTGTTATAATATAAAAATAATCACATACATACTAATCAATTTTAAACGACAATAACCAAAAACAAAAACGAAAGACAAAAATAAAAATTCAAGCCTACGTTTTGACTGAGATGCGATAACTGGTAGGATGATCAACCATCGTGACTTACCGGTGTAACAGTAATCCAAGTCCCCCAGGAAGACAACCATTACTTGGGAATAGTAGTCCTACTGGGACGTAGGTTCCTGGCTCATAATTAGAGTAAGTAGGACTTGTTTTACTGGCGGACTTTTATTCCTGTTCATGACAGTAATGCAAGTCCGGCCATTTGAAAGTCCTATCCTTACGCAACAATACGGTTAAATGATGCAATTATAAATGCATATGAAATCCTTCTGGTGAGCCATATACCAGTCAAAAAATGGGTAGTTTGCAACTTCAGCTCGTCTGTGTAGTGGATATCGTGCTAAACCGTAAAGTAAGTTATCATGAATCGGTCTGTTACATGTACACCTCTGGGTAAGAGACCTACCTTTGACATGACTTTATCCCCCCCCCCCCCCACCTACTCCATAACCTGTACTTGTAGCAAAATGTATAATGGTGTTTGAATGTCCAATATGTGTCCGAAATTCCGTGCTCATAACACTTAACATTATTTTTTTTTGTTTTGCTTTTTTTAAGTGTCAAAGCACCAAGATAGCAATGGGATATCACAGAACATTATATTATATACATATATTGCATTTTTCAATTTCTAAACTGTCTTGATTTATCTTTAATTACAGTCCATACTTTTCAAGAGCAAATTTTCATCGAGTTTAAGGTTATTTTTCAATTTCTGCGAGTGTAAACCGTAAAATAAATCTAAGAACGGAAACCCAGTGTTTTGTGTAAATTAAGTAGGAGTAAGATTTTGAAAACATACAGATTGCACAAGAGAGAATTTCGACGCAAAAGTACGCCCCCAGCAGAAAAGAACATGAAATAAGATACATATATCTCAAAGGAGGAAAATAAGGGATGCCTTGGTACCTTATTTTGTAAATTATCGGGCAAACCAGGCCCATACATGTACGTATTGTGCACTGAGGGAGAAGTATGCCAAAAGTATGCGTTAACATAAGCACAAATTTGCGTTAACTACACGAAAAATACACATAGAATTATAAGTAAACTGTTTTGTTACTTCATTAATGTGCATATAAACTTTCTATTGGAAAATAAAAACATTTTTAAATATAAAGATGAAATGTCGTATAAATGGAAGAAAGCAAACGTTTATTATATCTTTAAAACTTATATCTATTTATTCATGTAAACTATATAGTGTTACGCTTCGCGGCCGAGTGCCTTATGAAGGTATAAATAACAATGTACTTACTGGTGTCTCAAGCCAAAAGAGACAAAAAGGAGCCAAAGAGGAAGCCAAAGACCAAAGAGATAGCTACTATAGCCAAGAGCGAGGACCGCAAAGAGGCCGATTTATTTCAAATCACACCTTATATACAAGTTCAGATAGTACACGTTTACCAATCAGAACCAATTATAGTACAGTGAACAGTTTTACCTTTAAGTTACCAATCATTACATACAATTACATGGGAGAGATTCAAACTTGCACACCGGACAACACTTTACTCATAGAGTCATCTACCGGTAGCAATATAAAACGATCTCAACTAACACACTACATCGTCACACTAGGACATGCGTCACTAAAATGTTAGGAACGCACGTCCCTTTAGGGCGTGCATTTCTACACGTAGGACTTACATTACTTGGGAGCCGGTGTACCATGAAAATGTGACTCCCCCAAAACGTGACTCCCCAGTCAAATTTTCATAATGAAAATGTGACTTCCCCATGAAAATTTGACTCCCTCCACATAACTTTATAGATCTTATTTTATTTGAGTATATGCCTTTTATATTGTAGTAGGCATATGGAGGATACATTGGCACTTTTTGTTTGTTTGCAGGTAACAATTTAAATGAAAAAATAAGAAAATCAAAAATGTGTATTTTACCAACCAACGACTCCCCTATGAAAAAAGCTATTTATTTGATATTTGGTGATCATTTCAACATATTTCCCATATGTATACTTTATGAAGATTATATTGGAAATATTTGACAGTTTGGTGGTAAAATATTGGGTGCAAAAAATGAAAAGAAAAATTTTGAAAAATCTTCATATTCATACCCATGGGATTTGGACTCCCAAGAAGAAAAGGCCCCATTTTATATTTAGTCACCATACCATTGTTTTCCACATGTTTTGCATTGTGACATATTGTGTTAGTATTTGAAAATTTGGTGGTGAAAGTTTTGGTGAAAATTGATGATCTTTGAAACGAGTATTCTTTACTACCTGTAGGATTTGGACTCTGATAACCTTTTCATAGGAGTCATTGGGTGGAAAAATACGCATTTTTGATGTTTTTATTTTCTTATGAAAATCTTCAAAAAAAAAAAATGCCAATGTATCCTGCATTATGCATACTATAAGATAAAAAGTTATATACTCAAATAAAGCAAGATTTATAAAGTTTTGTGGGGGAGAGTCAAAATTTCATGGGGGGGGGGCAGATTTTCATTATGAAATTTTGACTGGGGGAATAGGATTTTAATAGGAGTCAGATTTTTTACACCGGAACTATAAGGTAGAAAGGTTCTGTTTGATCCCAAGACCTACGAAGCTTCTGTGGCTTCGTGGTAAATCCGCTGGCTTGGCCACAGTTCGACACTTGTTCGAGGCGTCGAGTTCCAGAACGCTCGGTGTGAATAATTTTTGCTAGTTATGATTTCTAAAATTTGCTTTAACTCAACTTTACTTGTTAATTAGATAGGCACATAACATGATAACAACAATATGATAACAACTTTTCGCACCATTTAACTTCAGTTTCATTTCCTGGCAAGTAGGATAATGATGCCGGGCTCTCCATTACTTGTGAGCTCCAAAACCGACCGCTCGCATGCAAAATTTGAAATTCTTAGATGCAATAGTTGCCGATGTATGGAAACTTCATTCTTTGACAGAACCCTGCTTCGCCAAAGCCAAGCTTTGACCAGCCCAAAGGAGCACTACCCGATTAAATTACTGCATATTACACAATCTAACAGTGCAACAGACGTGGTAGTCAGTTAATTGGTAGCGACACACCTGACTACACACTTCTCCAGTCATATATCTTATATGAGATCTGAGTTTTTAAAATAAAAAAGAACGCATTTTACCAATGTATACCTTTGAAACTGAAATACTCCATATGAAATGCCAAGTCATAGGAGCGGAATTGGCTACTGAGAGGCCAGGGATAAGAAATAAGAAGACCAGAATAGATCACTGAGGAAGATTCATATATTTTCGATTAGGAAATTTGATACTATTTCAAAACTTTTGTCATTTTGACCAGAGGTAAGGGTTTTATGACCATGTAGGAACAGGGATATCTTATCTAGTTGGGTTCTGAAATATGCATAAGTTGCACCAAGTATATCTTCAACAGATTCGTAGAAATCACGATATTTCCTCTGTTTCAACGGGCACTGAAAGAAAAAATGTCGGATGGTTTCGGGTCCCCACATAAACAGTTGGGAGAAGCCAGCGCTGCCCAGTTGTGGTCATATAGTTGGGCTTTAAATAGGAAGTCGATCCGGGCCTTGTTTAAGATGTTTTCATTTTGTCTGGAAGCTTCAGATAGGCGGTGGACATTGTTGCTGGGAAGGTTTGATTTCTAAGATTGTATTTGAGAGAAGATGCAGAAGGAGAATTTTTCTGGGTGGTATTTAGTTCATCCCAGCTTGTCATCAGAAAGTGTTCATTTGTATGTGAATTTAGAGGGAATTATGTAGTCTCTGTTAGATGTTGTCTGTAGCGGTAGTGTGGATTTATTTGTAAACGGGATGAAGTAGCAAGAGACAGGAAGGTGCTAGTTGATTGTAGATATTGAACATGATTTTTTTCGCGTGATTCCTTCGACGTTCCTCTTGTGAAATCCAGTTCAGTACTTTACAGCGATTTGAGCCAGGAAGGGCCCCCATGAAAGAAAAAACGCCTGATCTTTTAATAGTCTCTCCGCCTCTCACACGCCTCCCCATACGTCGTCCCTGCGGGGTACAGTAATTAAATGTCGGCTCCGTTCGCCATGCGGAAGCTACCTGAGAAATATTAAGTGCGCATGCTCATCAGTTAAACTCTTGGTGAAGAAAGCATGGCGGCTGAAGGCGATTGAAGGAAAAAAGCTCTTCTGTTCTATTATCTTTCAAAACAGAGACGAAAAAGGAATTAATTGGCCCGTAGAGCAGCAATGAATCAACTATCTACGGAGATAATATCACCAGAGATATTCACGGAGATATTCATGTTCGGAGCCGACATTTAATTACTTTACCCCGCAGGGACGACGTGTGGGGAGGCGTGTGAGAGGCGGAGAGACTATTGAAAGATTAGGCGGTTTTTCTTCGATGTACGTCCGCCATTTTTAGTTCTCAGGATTTGTAAAGCCTGGCTCAAGTCGTGGAGAATGCGGTCTTAGACCATCTTGATACTGGTGGGAGGATAGCTTTGATAGGTTGTGTGGAGAGGCTGTGCTATAAAGAATATGCCAATAATCAAGCAAAGGAGAACAATACGCATTGTAAAGCATGTTTTAACATCTTAAAAGATGCTTAGATCGTAGAGTATTAGAGAGCGATTTTAAAGGATTTAGTGCTTTTGGACCTTGGTTAAAGTATGTGTAATATGCTTGGAGTAGTTAAGTTTATGATCAAGAATAAACCCAAGGTGTTTATGGTATTTGTTTTGTGTTATAGCCGTGTTGCATAGAATAAGTGGACAGTACTTTTCTACATTTTCTATTTTCGTAGTAAAATCACTTCATTGCACTTTTTTTTTTTTTTTTTTTTTTTTGGTTTAATAAATTGTTTCCACTTCACTGACCATGCTTCAAGATATGAAATGTCAGATTGGAAAATGTCATGTGTTTTCCTGTTATCTGGGATAGACGGGAGAAAAATCGAAGTATCATCAGATTTGGTGATAATTTAATGAATTAATCAATCAGTTAATAATGAGAATTAGCCAATTTAGTCGATTAGCACATTAATTACCATATTTTAAAAAGAATAATGAGGAATATGCTGCCTGAGTGCTATCCTTGTTGAATTCATTTCGGTTGTCTGCGCATCAGTCAACTAAGCTGCTTTATTTGGAATTCACCAACATCGTATTTTTAAAACTAGGATAGTATGACCATGATAAAAATTGTCTTAATTTTTTTCAGTCTCTGCTGCCAAACAGATGGCGTCACCACAATGCAGATGCGGCTTTAGACAGTTCTCATCCGTTTTGATTGTTGGATGTTCGGTGCTGTTAATGTTGACGGTTTTGAAGATAATAGGCGACAGGCCGCAAATGTGTAAATACAGTGTTCCTGATAAAATCCCAACAAAGCCGAAAAAAGAGGCACCATTGCCACCCAATGCCCGCCAATTGGGATCCGAAGATAAATCTTTGCTAAGGACAGCCCAAATAGGAAAGCATCATTATTCTCACGACACAGACACCGTTCTCGACCCAGGGGCAATCAGACCATTCCCTACCCTCCCGTCTTACCCGCTGAAACCCGGCGGAGCAGGGAGACATTACAACCCCGGTGTACTTTTGTCATTTTTCCAATCGGAACTCACGGCTGAAGATAAAGAAATCTTTACAAATATACTAGGTACCATAGACAGGGTATGCAGGGAGAACAATATCACCTATTTCATGTCTGCGGGCACCTTGCTCGGGTCATACAGACACCATGGTATGATACCATGGGATGTTGATGCTGACATTCATTGCAGCGTCCACGGTAAGGCGAAACTGACGGAGGCATTTTCAAAACATGCTCCAGACTATGTTGTTCATACCCCGCTCCACACCCGCTACCCGGGGTTACTGAAGGTCTATTACAAGCGGTCAAATATCACGGTGGACGAGTGGAAATGGCCAGCAGTCGACATATTCCTGTACGCGGAAAACGAAACACATATTTGGGATATTCCTGGTAACCTAAGCGGAACCGAAGTACCTCGCCCACTCAACCCCAGCTCGAGTAAACTTTACAAGACATTCGAAAAAAAGTCATATTTCCTCTCCACAGGCGTCCTTTTGGTAACATCCTTCTCTACGCACCTCGAGACTCTTTTGCCTATCTGAATTTGTATTATGGTAGTACAGAGTGCCTTAAACAACTGCATAGACAATACGCAATACAGATTCCCTGCAAGGAACTGGAGAACGTCGTGCCGTTCGTTTACAGAGAGGGGGTCGACCAATGGACCGGGCGTGATGGAAAAGCTGATGATAGGCGACAAGTTGTTACAAGAATTCATTATTGACGAGCCAAGTTATGCCGTAACAAAACGTTATAGTCTGGAGTTGGTGGAACACAATGAAGACGGACGAGATTCGGCCTAAATAAATAAATAGCAATACAAAACATTTTAATTGTATTTTATCAGTCAAGGAGATTATTTTTGTTCTTTTACTAACATTTGTTCCATTTTCTTTAACTATTTAGTTTTTTACTGCTATACACCAATACCTCTAAATATCACATTTAAAATTAGTTTAAATTGTAATCATTTTACCGTTGTAACTCAAACAGGTGACACAAATTTAAATTCCATTCATACTTTATTTACTCTTACATAATATGTACAGGCTGTAAATTTTTATGTGCAATATTTACATGTTTTAATAAGTTTTATTGGCAGCACTGGCATTTCAGACAACACCGTTACTTACTGCACTGTATGTATCGACACCTTAAATCGTACTCTGCCAGTCTGTTTTATCGAAGTCTGACCCAGAATGTAGAAATGCACAAAGATATACACAGCCGTTTTTGCTTGACAAACGAAAATGCAGTATTTGCCAAACATAGGTTAACGTCCATTCTTTACGAAACATGTTGTCAAACTTTCCACAGACTGGGCCAATATGGACAAAGAAGCTGCCGACTCAGAATTTCAACGGAAACCACGCAAGAAACAATGACCATTATGCTAATGTTAGTTTACACACATGACAGTGCGTTTATATACGGGTCAGTAACATACTGATATTTAAGTCAGCTATGCGACATTGACGAATTGTATATTTGCCTTCAGAGATGCTGCAATACAATAAAAATGGTTTAAATAAAATACTGGAGTGTTTTCTCCTTAAATTTTCTATCAAGTCCATTAAACCCCCACCCCCCCACCCCCACCCCCCTAGACTCCAATTGGCAGAAAATACATTTTCCAAAAATGACAGCAAAATCATCCAAAGTGTTTATCTCCACGCGAAACCGAGTCTCTTGTTGGTCCGTCCATCTCCGTATATATTCTTCTTCACCTCCTTGGTCGTCCCTCGTTGGTAGATGGGCAGCTGGACACCGATGTGATACATCGCATCGTGTAGTGAGTTGGTCGATAAGACAGAAAAGATTTGGAAGTGGAGCTTGTCAAACAAAGATAAAATTTTACAATTTGTCATCTTGCCCGGTATTTCCAATCCGATTGTTCCAGAAAGAGCAACTTGGTACAAGTCAATCACAGGGAGCTACATGTATACGGTATACCGCTGACTGCCTATCAAAAACATTCGGCGCACAGAATTTTCGTTCCTTTGCTTTATGGTAATTTGCTCAGTGCGAATAAAAATTCCAACAGGAACTATTTAAAAGTGTTAGTGAAGGTCCATACGATCACTGCATATCCATGCACTTGAAATGTGATTTGCATTGTGAAAAAAGGTGAAATATGTCAATATGCATATTAGATAGAAGACTTTAATTTCCACGAACTAGACCACTAAGTACTACTTTAACCCAACTCTACGTGTTAGTTACACAGGTACAGCACATGAAAACAACAATATGATAACAACTTTTAGCAACATTTAACTACAATTTAATTTCATGGCAAGCAGGATAACGATACTGCGCTCTCCATTATTTGGCTTAATAGCAACACTAAATTTCCGTCATTGTGAACTTGGTGAACTTGTTGATAGACTTTCAGACACTGTTTTAGCTTATATAAATTAAAGTAACTAATGACTTACTCAAACAGAATATTATCAATTAATTGTGGTTTAAAGTTGATAAAATAATCTTTAAAATATTTAAAGGTTGCTGACAACAGTGTGCAATGATAATTTGTTGGAAAGCAAAAAGAGCTTGGGATTAGTGAAAAACAATAACTTCATTTAGACATACCATAACTGTTGCCGTGATGGACATTTTTCATTTCTTTTATTTTCTAAACTGTTGTAAGGTTCGATTTTATATTCACAAGTCGAGAAGGAGTAAGCAACAAGAGTCCTGGATTACCAAACGGCTTTATTCTCACTGCCTTAGTTCTTAAGTGCAAAGTCAGAAGTGCCTTATCTACCCACCATCAATCCAATATATATTTAGCTCTACCTTGCATGTCTTATAGAATTATTATCTATAAACTGAACATAATATCTAGTCTCACGGGACAGGTGTCACAAGAGACGCGCGACATCTTAGGGGGCGTAGGACATGCTAAGGGGTACCACCGCGTCCCTTACACTGTTTTGCCATCTATCTTTGCCTACATGTCATAATATCTGGTTTTGTGAATTTATTATTTTTACAAAAGTATTTTGTAAATATAGTTGCAACGATTTTTGTTGTTTTGTGTCCATGTATTTGCCAGGTAAGCTGTTTATTTTCAAAAAGTGTCAGAAATTCATTATTTTTGATTGAAATTCATGTGCATTAAATATATTTGTATATAAATCTTTAAAAATCTTTATTCCGTTTATTTTTGACTGAATGGCCTTGTGGTCAGTGCCGGAGCAGAAGGTCTTGGTTCGACAAACCAGTCCTTCATAATCGCTACCTGTTGTCTCCCCCGCTTTACACTCCACACTTTATGTAACATTTTTTTAAATGATTGTAAGAAAACAATCATTGTCCGTAAAAAAATGAAATGCTTTTCTTGCTTTTTTATGTACAGACACAGATGTGTCTGTACATATTGTTTGTTTGTTATTTCAGAATGGTAAAGTAAACAATGATTGTTAGTGAACAATTTAATGAAATGTTTTATTTATTTACTACGTTCTGTAATGGATGTTAGCCTGTTAGGAATGTTGTGTAATTTTTGTAAGTAAAACTAAGTTATCAATTAGTTGTATTGAACTGAACAGTACTAATGTGCTCCATTTTACAAACATAGACATAATGTTGATGCAAAACGATAGGACTTAATTCTTTTTCTTGCTATTGCTTGCTATTGACTGGTTTTACATGCAGATGTTCATTGTTTCCGTCACCCATGTTGAGGTTCACAGATGTATTGAGTTACCTTGTATATCAGGTTTTATCAGCATTTCTTTCAATTTCTTTCATTGTTTTACCGAGTGTAAAATTTAATGAGATTGTAAGATGTGGAGTTCTGTAAAATTTGTTTTTATCAAAAGGTTTTTGAAGAAATAAAAAAGAAAAAATATTACCTCAGCGTTGTTGTTCTAGAATTCAGAGATGTTTTATAATATGAGTACAAGGCATGTGATCTACTCATCGCATTTAAATTTGAAATTGCTAACCATTACTCATAATCGCTATTTTTTTCTCAAAGGTAGACTAGCTAAAGTTAAATACGGATATTCGAGGCAAGGGTTGTCAGATCGTGTAGCTAGGGAACAATATGTTTTAATAAAATATGAAAGTGATCAAGATAAAAGATTTATACTAGCATTCTGCTACAATTTATGAACAATAACAAGCACCTGTTCCAAGAGACGCACACTCCCTCTTCCGGCACCTTCGCACACCGTTAACTTCAAACCACGCTACATGAAAATTGGAATCGGACTGGAAATATCAACACTTTCTTTGAAGACAAAATATATCACCCAAATCTGTTAATGGTTGTGTTTGTAACACCTGATTTTGATTCCTAAGAGTGCATTCCCAGAGATTTAGAACGATCCATCCGGATCGACCTAACTCCCTGGGGGTTCACGCTAAATTGCTATCAGCCGAGCGCGCACGACAGTTAAACTTACAGCTTTTAGTAGGCGTGACAGACGCTTAAGCCGGCTAAGCTGACAGTAATCTAGTGAGACTCCCCACAGGGATTGATCGATCTAAAATCTGTGGGAACGGGGTCTAAGTATCCAGATTTTGTTCGCATTCTAAATGGAAATGAAGACTGATGAACGTTACTGATGTTGTCAAAAGTAAGAAGTAGTTATTATTCTCTGCGGTTTTAAATAGGTGGTAAAGAAGGGAGTTGCTAATTTTAACATATAGATTTACGGTTATTACGCAGTCTTTTAAATTTGATCAATTCTAGGCAAATATGTTACCTTATTGATTGTGAAAAAGAATGAGTTGTATCAATTGCGTGATTGAAATGATAGAAATGTGCACTTTTAAAATCAATCAGATACCTTTTGTATAATTGACTTAAAGGTTTTATAGAAGTGTCAATATCGCAGACATAACTACTTTGTAAGGCTCGATTCCATGCGACGAAAATCAAACACCCTTATTCATTTAACGATTTATCAATTAGACAAGCGATTAATTTAATTCGAATTAGTGCTCTTTTAAATGTTCAAGCATCATTTTCTGCGGCATTTCTCTGCTGTCACCGCACTCTTAGCCATTCACCACTCAGAGCAACAACCCACCATATATTTTTTTAATTTTTCTGTTGTCACGGGCTGCTTTTAAAACGTTAATGCTTAAATAAAGTATGGAGTTACAAAAACAGGTTCTTGTCCGAGTTAAGCCTAGGTCCCAACTGCGTTTGGACGCACGTTTTTTAGGTTCCTTGCGTCCGGCTAGGACGTAGCTAGATCGCACGTGGCGGCTGTTGATCATGTCGAAAAGATTTTACGTGCTGTTTGCGTCCTCCAAAAGTCGCACGATGGACGTGCTCCTCACGCACGAACTCCCACGTTTTCCCCATTTTTTGGCCGTAGACCACACGAAGCAGCCCGTACGTTCGGTTGGGGCCTATACCAGGCTTTACTTGGTTTCTTCGCTGCGACCTAGCTTCGTCCTAGCCGGACGCAAGGAACCTAAAAACCGTGCGTCCAAAACGTAGTTGGGACCTAGGCTTTACAGCAGTATTTATTTGGGTAATTTTTGGCAGTTGCAAAAAGCACTTCGCAAATGGGATGCT